ACTGAATACAGAAGAAACTGCCAAAAGAACAAATATGTCTTGGAGAATGTGCAGCTAGAGTGATCTTTTGGGGCAGAGATAATGTAACTTTTCATACTTCAAGTATGTTGCTAGGAGTGGCTACTCTTTGGAGAGGGACATCATGCTTGGAAAGGTGGAGAGTTGAGAAATGAGGAAAACCCTCAACCAGATGGACTGACATCGTGACTGCTACAATAGGATCAAGCAATGTCAGAAACTGTGAGAATCACGTAGGATAGGACAGGGTTCAGATCTGTTATTCATAGGCTCGCTATGGGTCGTACTCAACATTTTACAATAACAATGATTAATTAATGATTAATGTTGAGCACCTCCCCATGTGCTTAATGGCCATTGGCATATCTCCTTTGCGGAAATGTCTATTCAAGTCTTTTGCTTATTTTGAAAATTGGATTGCTTTTGTTGTTTTAAAACTTCCTTGTATATTTTGGATACTAGTGTCATGAGAAATGATTTGCAAAAGTTTTCTTCTATTCTGTAGGCTGTCTTTTCACTTCCTCAGTAATATGCTTTAATATACACCATCAAATCCAAGGTCATGAAGATTTGCCTGCTTTCTTCTAAGAGTTTTCTCTTTGATCCATTTTAATTTTTTATTGCAGTCTTTAATATAGATTGAAGCTCAACATCAAGAAAACAAAGATTCTCATCACTGGGCCAATTGGCAGCATTATGATAGATGGTGAAAAGATAAGAGATTGTTAAGAGTGTTAGTTTACTTGGCTCCACAATTAACACACTTGGTACCACAGCCAGGAAATCAAGAGACAAATTGCACTGGGAAAGTCAGCTCGCAGGAAGCTCTCCAAGAGCACTGAAGAGCAACAGTGTCAGTCTGGAGACTAAGCTACGCCTGATCCAGGCCATAGTCTTCACAATTGCTTGCTACTGATGCCTTTGAGCTGTGGTGTTGGAGAAGTGTGTTGAATATACCATGGACTGCCAGAAAAACAAGCAGGTTCATCTTGTTAAGTGCCGTCGAGTCGCAGGCAACTCATAGCGACCCTATGAAGGAGAGTCCTTGACACTTGGGTGCCTTTCATTCTCTCTCCAGGTTCATAGGAGGTTCATCTTAGGAAGGGTGAAATCAGGCTGATCCTGGGAGATAAGGATTCTGAGGCTTCGCCTGACATAATTTGGGCATGCTGCAAGGAGGTGATCCTTGGAGAGGGCCATCATGCTTGAAAGGGTGAAGATCATTGATGAGGTTGATTGATACAGTGACTGGGGTAATGAGGGTAGATGTGTCAGACAGAATAAAGTTGGCACAGGATAGAGGTTTCTGTACATAGGGTCGCTATGCAAGAGACTCGACAGCACGTAACAACCTTCTCCTCACACTTTCAGCAACTTTTTCAAAGATCAGTTGACCACACATGTATGGGTTTATTTGTGGCCTCAGTTGCATTCAGTGGTCTGTGTCTTTATGCCAGTACCAAAGTTGGTCACTGAATAAGATGGAAGAATTATTGCATTGAAATTATGGTGTTGGTGAAGAATATGAAATACACCATGCACTTCCAGAACAAATAATCTGTTTTGGAATAAGTATAGCCTGAATATACCTTAGAATTGAGGATGGCAAGATTTTGTCTCATACTTTAGAAGTGTTCTCAGGAGTTCTTCATACTTGGTGGAAAAGGAGCATCAGCCCAAGAAGCCCTGAGGATTGAAAGAGTGGCAGGTGTAACTGGGTTTAAACAAGACAATGGTGAGGATGGCACAGGAGCAGGCAATGTTTTGTCCTGTTTTTCTTATAATAGTCATTTAATGTAATTTCCTCTATTCATCCATGTGCAATGTTTCACAAATTCTTTATTGTTCTTCAGTGTTGCATAATTAAGATAAATTGGATGAAGTGAAAGGCAATACATAAGGGTGATCACATATTGGAATTACATCAACAAATTGTAGTTATTGTTATAAAACAAAGTATGATTGAATGAGAAGCCAGTATGACTTGTAAACTTAGAAATTTAAAAAAAATTACTCCATATATAAACTTTTATTTCGCTTTTTTAAACTTATTCCCTGCCAGTCTAGATGGAAACAATCCATAGTTTGAACCTCTAGTGGATTTTCAGAGGCTATAAAATTGTCCATCCTTCCCTTGGCGAACCACTGGTGCACATGATGCACCTCTGAGTTACCAGCACAACTGCTTACCACTAGGCCTCCACAATTTTGTAAGAATGTCTTGTGACTATGTCTGGTCCTTTTGTGTCTGTGTTTACTAAGCGTTATGACTTCCAGTTTCACCCATATTTTTTTTTTCCCATCCATTTTTAAAACTCTCCAGTATACTCCGATATTTTTTTATTATTTCTTAAAGAAATAATCTGCTCAAGATTTTCCTGAAGGCTTTGGGGTTCTAATTGTTTGCTTCAAATGGCTGCAGTTGCTCATTTGCTCCACGATGGGGGATGAGTTTTGCTCATTGCTTTTCCATGGCGAGTAAGGCCATCAGGTCACACTCCTCACTCTACTCATTATAATGGAGTCACAGCCAACTCACAGCTGAGTCTCCATTGGGTTGTTGAGCCTGTAAATAGGAGAGGCGATTGCCCACCTTTTCCCCACAGAGTAGAGTCCAACTGCCAGAGAAGCATGGGCTTTGGGTTAGCAGTGCAACTCCCTATATGGACTACTAGACCAGAGTAGAGTTCCGGTGGTTCAGAAGCTGCGCTGCAATCCCTAAGGCACGCAGTTTGAATCCACAAACTGCTCTGTGGGAGACAGATGGGCAATCTCCACCTGTGCTATTTACTCTCTCTGAACAACCACTGAACGGTCAGTTCCCTCCGTTTTATAGCAAAACAAGGCTGCCAGCACTCCTCCCTCCAGAACAGGTTAGAACAAGCTCGGTTCCTTAATAGGGGTTCATTCAACTTCCTCTAGAAACAGGACTAAGGTTCTACAGGAGGAATAGGAGAGATATTCTCATGCGTACTGGCACTGAGCTGGGGAAAGGAGTGAAGCAAGGGAAAGAACACAAACCCTTATCTTCTCACAGTTTTTAGGAATATTTAACATTTGCTTTGGTTCTTCGAAACCTTTGATGGTTTTCAGATTCTCAGAAAGTTAATCTTGACTGTTGTCCCTTGAAGTTACCTGTTCCTATGACTGAATGCATACTTGGAGTGATTCACTCCATTTTTACCAATAATGCTCTTGGGTTTTGGGGTTTTTGTTTTGTTTTGTTGTTTTTTAGTGTCATAGCCTATTATGTGAAAATTAGTAGGGCTCATTTAAGGCTTTTAATGGACTTAGTTCTGCATCTGTCAGCCACTTAAATTAGTACTCCAAAATTGCCTTAATTTAGACAGGGAATGAGAACACTTAAAACTAGACTACAGGCCTTATTTATTAATCATGGGCTTATTGAGGTAATTTATTAGATAGTATAGCTTAGGGGGCATCTATAATTCATGGGTAAGATTCTTACAATCCATGCAAGAGACTCATGCTCAAATCCAGGCGAAGGGACCTCAGGCACAGCCACAATCCATGGAGGCTTGAATGCTGCTATGATGCTGAACAGATTTCTTTGGAATTCTATACTAAAATGGACTAGGAGGAAATGCCCGGTGATCTATTTCTGAGAGCCAATGAAAACCTTATAGAATCACAACAGTCTGATACTCAACTCGTCATGAGGACGGTACAGGCCTGGGAGCTGTTTCCTTCTTTCATGCACGGAGTTGCTGCAAGTCAGGTGCTCACTCGACACCTAACAACACTCAGCTTATACTGACATCTGATACTGCAGGGATATATACCTATTATTTTTATTAAAATATTTAGCACTTATGAGGATTAAGTATATAAAACACAGTGTAAAGAAATGGTAATATAAAACACAATGTGAATGAAGGAAAGTGTGAAACACAATGTATACAAATTTTGTATGGAAGCCAACATAAATTTTAAAAAGAAACATGTTTAGAACTTATGCCAGGTTAATTTAAATCTTTGAAGTAGCACATTTCCTAATTTCCCTACAAAATTGGTCTTTGTTTCTTAGCTATCAAAACTAAGTCTGTAAAATTCTTCTGTCATGCTGATGGCTAAATAAAAAATGTCAGGGCCCTTCAAAGGGTTTTGATTTCAATATGAAAAAAATATACATATATACTTTATTATATTCTGAGAATAACAAATTATTTCAAGTAAATATGAATATAAATTATAGTCCTAATTATTAGTTTCAAAAAGCTCTTAAATAATTATGACTTTTTCCAAAAGACAGACCTTAGAATGTGGCCACAGAATTGTGGATAGGAATCCCTCAATGGCAATCTATATTCCAAAAAGGTTTGCTTTTTGTGAACATTTTTTTTAACTTTTGTGTTAAAGCTAATGATATAGGCCTCATAAGGGATGCAATGCTTTCATCTCTCCAATTAAAATGTTAAAGAGGGAATAGTTCCAGGATGTGTACTGTTGACAGCGATGACAGAGATAACCATGAAAAGATTCTTAGGTAAAACTCTGTTTTAGAGTAAGAACGCATACGTTCTTACAGGTTTACAGATGGTTTAAGAACAAAAAGGGAGAACGCAGAATTGTAAAGTCTGGCAAAGGAAGAAAGCACAGATAGACCTAATTCAGTCATAAGGATGGAGGCTAAGTGATATTTACACATACGAGTTCAAGTTTGAAGGAACAGTACAGATCGTATATATTTGCTATTTAATAAAATGCAGTATGTTTTTTCATTTACTATGAAAGGATTATTTCATAGAAAAAAAACTGTATAAGTGCATATTCAGTCAATGCAAATTTAAGCCTACCATAATATACAGGAATGACAAAAAAATGGACATCAATTTCAACTAAATTTACAGTATTGTCTTGATACTTTCTATTCTTATTTTTAATATATATACAAGGCACAAGTTCTGGGATTGTAGGTTATATCATTTCTCTGAAAAATCAAATCCCAATCTTCACGTTATCTAAAGATTTATTTGGATTCTTAGAGGCTGTCTTAACTTGCTCTTTGTGGCTGAGTGTTCTGAGGTGTCCTCCACTTTAGACTGCACCACGGGGTTAATAACTCTATTTTCTTTGTCTTTTCCATGCGGTTTTTTATGCTGTGGATTTAAGGAAAGAAATGAAGTCAGTGTAAAGTAGCACTTAATACACATTAGCTAGCTTTACCGTATTTCCAAAGTTCTCCAAGTTTCAAACAAGATATTTAACTGTAGAAAATTTTAGGAAAGGCTCAGACAAAGTTGAACCAACAATTTATTTAGGAAGTAGAGGCCACTGTCTTCTTTTGTTTACTATCAACAGGAGGAGAAAAGAAAAAAAAACAAACCAATTTTCTTTTCCAAGGCAAGTGAGTTTGAGCTCCAGGCCAATGCCTGGAGATAGTTTTGGTTGTCATAACTAGGAGGCATCCATCCCTCTAATGGTAGACACCAGGAATGCTGCTCAACATTGTCCAAAACCCCTGCTCTCCAAAGAATTACTTGGCTTATTTTGTAAATGGTACCATTCTTGAGAAACTCTACTTTAGGGAAAAGATTTATTTTCATATTATAAAGGCAATTCTATTTTAAGCAAAGGGCATGAACTACCTAAAGATACTTTTGTTTTTATGTTCCTCCTTTGCTAGTTTTGTTTCATGAGAATTCTATTTGCTCATTGAACGTTTAGGATCCTGGTGATACCAATGTCCTATGTAAGAAAATCTATACTTCAGACATTGTTTAGGTTCATATCCTCAAAACAGAAAAACAAATGTTAAAGAGATTATAGTGCCATGTTTGGAACAGTGTTTGAAAGTGGGCAGCTCACAGGACTTAACTGCATAGGATTAGAGCAGGCCAACAATTCAGGAAATATGGGGTAAAAAGGAAGGTAAGACAGGAGACATTATTAACATAACCTGAGAGCTATTATTCTCTGTTAGCCAAATAACTCCCCCTCTGCCTTCAAAAGTCTGGTTATGAACAGAGACAGACTAACTTTCATGCCAAATGTGGGAGGAAGAGAACTGACTCCTCTCAATATCCATTCTAAATATGTAGGAAGCAAAAGAAAGACAAATATAGCTAAGATGACCAGACAAAGGTAGAGATCTAAGTCATCTTTTGCTTTTATATATTAGAGAAACCCCTTTATAACTATCAAGGATTTTATCATTAATGTTTGAAAGGTGAACAAGCTACGCTACGAGAATGAAATGTTTGTTGTGCTATCCGATTATTTGTTTGATGCTGCTGCTGATGATTAGTGTGTATGTACTGTCAAATCGGATCTGGCGGGTACAGGAGGAGACTGCCCCTCCTTCTCCATCAGAGCATCAGGTGGATTCGAACCACGCACCTCTGGGATTGCAGTGCAGCTTCTTGTCACTAGGCCACCAGAGCTCGCTAGATTATTTAATTAAGTAATGACTTTACAACTGGTCTGTGGTTGCTGTGAAGCTTAACACTGTGACACTCCTGTGTCAAATGCAATAATGGTTACCCATGGCGGACAGTGTTTGGTGGAGCTCCCCAGTTAAAACAAGCTTGGAAGCAGGAGTGGCATCCACTTCCAAAATAGCTTGCCTCTGGAAACTCTATGAACGTGGAAAAATGATGCCAATTATACAAATGTTCAGGTCTTTCGTTCATAGGGTCACTATAAGTCTTCTACAAGTGGACAGCACTTAGCAACAAGAATGGCTTTACAAAAGAGACGATGACTGATTTAAGTCAGATATGGAAGGATTAACTGATATGATTTAATCAGATACCTGGAAAAACGGAACCCCACATCGTGATGAACAATCCACACTCGCATCTGGAGATGACTCTTGACTCAGAGGTTCTGCCGCATTGAGCATGGACTCCAGAACTGCCCTGTCTTCTTCCGGATCCTAACAGAAGGAGCTGAATGAGTGATTAAGCCCAAAGGCTTAAAAAATCTTTGCAGAATTATAAGCCATTTCTTTCTTTTTTTAACATAACACCCATTATTAAACCTTTTAAAAGTTAGCAAACATTTACAAACTGATTAAAATAATGTTTTCACACACAGCGGAAGTGCCTATACTAAAAGGTTAAAGGTGGAAATTTCAAGAGTTTATATTTTATTGTCTTATTACTCCCCCCCCCCCAAATTCTCTGTAATGTAATAACTACAGTCAAGAGCACTGACTGTGATGTTTAATTGGCTAGGTTCTAATTCCAACGCAAATCATTGTGAGCTGAGAAAGGTAATTTTAGTTTCCTCTTTTAAGAAATGAGGCTAGTACTAATATCCAACTCATAAGGTTATTCAGAGTGAACTGAGTTAGTGCTTATGGACAGAAAGTGTCCAGGACATAAGAACACATATATATTGGTTATTAATTATAGTATCATTTAATAATTTTTAAAATGTCATTTAAAAAAATTACAACATTTAAGGGATCTCTGGTGGCCTTGTGACAAGAAGTTGAACTGCAATCCCAGACACAGGCGGTTCGAATCCACCAGACACTCTGCTGGAGAAGGAGGGGCAATCTCCTCCTGTCCCAGTCAGATCCGATTTGGCAGTACACATACAAAAAATAATAAATCTAAAAAAAAAAATTACAACATTTAAAGAAATAGGCTAATGGAAAAACAATTGTTGTTAGTGAGAGGAAAATAGGACTGAAAGGCAAAGACAAAAATTCTTCACATGAACCTGATCCTATGAGGAATCTTTGAATTCTAAAATTGAGACACTTTAAATCTTACATGTCTGGTCTCCTTCTGGTTCTCTGAATATTCCATCATTGTTAAAAGCTCAGGCTGTTTGCTTCTTAATTGACTGATGAGTTCTTCACGTGGCTTTGTTCTCACCAGTGTTGATGGGTATAGGTAATTTTTCCTCTGGGGCGTTGTACCTTTAATAGACACATAAATGGGAAAAACTGAAGTTTAAGCTAGATAAAATTTTTGAATGTTAAAAAATTTACTTCCAAATTAGTCTTCTAATCAGTGCTGTATGTGCAAATATGTCCTGTTACCTGTCAAGCATAAGCCTAATATTTCTTAACTTGACAACTGGTAACAGATAATTATTTAATACTTAACCTATCCCCAAAACACTACCATCTCAGAGGATATGGTAAATGTGTCGTACATGTGTTATAAGCTCTAATAGGACATACAGAAGTGTTATGAGAAATGGTAGGTGAATATACAGTTTTCCCCAAATGATTACTTTTAAAGGTGTTCAATATTTCACTATAAATAGCAACTAACAATTAACAAGTTACATTTCTTTATAATTAGAGCGTACAGCCTGATAATTGACTAAGGCATTTCCTATTTTCCCCTAAACATTTACATTTCCTAATTTTATTGAAAAGAGAATAAATCATAGAGTTCTCTTGCAGGAGGAGAATAACGATCTCCTTTTATAATTTTTTGTATATAAAACAGCTTTTAAGTATAATTTGCAAAGTACAGTATTCACAAAGTACATAACCCAATGATTTTTAGTAAATTTACATGTGAAATAATCTGATAACTTACATACTACAAAATTTACTAACTTAAAGTGTATAATTCAATGTTACAGTGTGCGCAGTCATCCCTGATTATGCAAAACAGTGATTCTCAAATGTCAATCTAAGAGTTCATGACAAAACACAGGTAGATAGCAAAAAGCAAAATGTGGTGAGGTTTCCAGCAAACCAGAGTTCTCAAACATGTTGCTGCCACATTTCTGATGTTAAAATATCCCTTTTCCTTGACTGAATAATAGTAGACATTGATCAATGGTGATTAATTTTATAAAACAATGTATCTGAATGATCATATGAAACAATGTGAATGAAGGAATGTTTGAAACAGTGTACATAAATGATACACAATGTATACCAATTTTGTAGGAAACCAATACAAAATTTAAAAACTGAATGATTTTTTTAAAAAATCCCTTTTTATTTTATAAATGGTGTTCAGAAGATGGTAATAGGTTTTAAATGTTTTTTTTTTTTTGGGGAAAACAATTTACTTTATTTGTACACTTAAAAAGTTGTGCATGGAAACTTGTATTACAATTTTGTGAAACTGAAAGAACTGTTAGAAAAAACAGGGACATCAGCTTTTGATTGATCATTAAGAAGGTTAGAGAAATAAAACAAAAACACAGTAAAATTTTTTAAAAATTAAAGAACATTTTCCAGGTACAAATTTTATAAATACAAAACAAATTCACAAATTACTTTGAATTCTAAATAAATATCTAGTTAACAAATTCAGACTTAATACCTCCAGCCAATACTGGTATAGCACTTAAAGGATATAAAATTGGATTCATTCATGTGTAGTGTTGAAAGAATATGCTTGTTAAACAATGCTTAAGACATGTACACACTTTATAGGTTTTAAATGTTTTTAAAGTACTCTTTTACTGTCCTGACAAATGTTTGTAACATTTTACTATATTGTGATGCCCACATATCTAACTATATGTATCACCTATATCATTTAGTACTTGCTTTAAACCATTTTGATCCAATTTTTCTGTACTTGAGTTAATTACAATGAGGTAGTAAATTCCTACAAAGCAATGGCAGGACCAGACATTCTAACAATTCTTTTTTTCTTTTAAAGTACCTGTTGGGACATCCAGTTTCAGATCTTGTTCCAGAAAGCACTGAAGCTTAGTCCGACCGATTTTTATAGAATCATTAAGTTCCAGACCTTGTGACATCAGTATCTCTTTGTTAGAAGTTATTTGATCAAGGAAAGTGTTATGCTGATTCTCATTAGCTGATTTATGTCCACTTAATTTTTCAGTAATCTCTGAACATGAAGACTCACAACTCTTGTTTACCACCTGCAAATGATGTAAATGAGTTTTCAGTGATTTTATTATTAAAATTTACATTGTCAACAATTTACTCAATATATCATTTTATCTGACCTTGAAATTTTTCATAAACACAAGTTTTAAAAACACATGTGAGAGAAAACAATTAACTTCTTTGAACTTCCCAACTTTAACAATTTTATCAACATAAAGGGAGGTAATAGATGAAAAAGACTGGCCACTTTTTTGTCCTTCCACCCAACATTATTTTGAAGCAAATCTTGAGTCATTTCATCAACTTACTTCAGCATATATTACCAGGAGAGAAGAGTTTTTTCACAGCTAAAAAACAAGGGTTCTTTCAGTCAACTGTCTAGTTCAAATTTTACCAACTGGATTGTTTCAATCAGAATTCATCATTAGATTTGTTTATGTCTTAAGTAGGCAGCTGTTCTAATGAATCATCCAAACTGGGACCTTTGGAGTGAAAAGGGCCATTCTTATTTATTACCCCCAAGGAAGCAAGTGTAAATAAAGACCATTCCATGCAGTCTTTAAGGACTAAGTTATCTTAGTTTACATCTCTCTTCATCTATAGGTTACCCTCAGTTTTCTTTTCCCTTTGAAATGTTCTGTTAAGAAACCAGGCCTTTAAAACAATGAAAAAAATTTTTCTTTTACTTTTCAAAGAGAGGAGTGTACTGGGGGGGGGGGGCGGGAAGGGTAGGTAGGGAGAAAAGTATAACAATGAATGAATGAATGGAAATCCAAAGTCTGTAAATTTTCATTAAAATTACTAATACTTTTTTTTTTAAAAAGAAACCAGGCCTTTTCTTGCTATTGAATCTCTCAAATTCTGGTTTTGCCTGAATGCAAGTCTGTGACAGATTTTCCTCTATTCATCTGTCCTCCTCATTTTCCATAAACTAGTTTGATCTAGAGACCTTATCAAATTCAAGGTCATATTTTGTTGATACGAATACTTTATAGGAAGTGCATATAATGAATGGTTGTATCTCATGTTAAGATTATGAAGTTCTCCATCAGCTGCTGCTCAGATGGTTTAGTAATCATTAATGTTCATGTTGTTGTGTACAGTGGAGCAGGACTTACACCTGACCCTCCACAGGGTATTCAGAGGCAATAAATCACATAGGAGACTGCCCATCTTCCTCTAGGAGAGTAGCTGGTGGACTTGAACCATATGCCTTTGGGTTGGGAGCTCTTTACCTAATTATCATGGAGTTATTAAATTGTTTTTGTTACTGTCATAATGACCCCTATGAACAACAGATCTGAACCCTGTTCTATCCAGTGCCAGCCTCATCTCAGATACATTTAAGCCAAATGCTGCAGTCACTGTGTCAGTCCATCTCATGGAGGGTCTTTCTATCGCTGACCTTAAACTTTCCAAAGAGGATGTCCTTTTCCAAGGAATAGGGTCTCCTAAAAACATGCCCATCGTATGTGAGACAAAGCTTCACCATCCTTTACCTCTAAGGAGCACTCTGGTTGCACTTTTATCAATCCTTTTGTAATTCTTAACTTTCTACCTCTCAAATGCACAAGGTAAAAGATCATGGCTTGATCAGGCACACCTTAGTCTTTAAGCCAGTATCATTGCTCTTCAGTACTTTGGAAAAATTTTTGACAGCACACTTTCGTAATGCTCTATCTTCTGATCTCCTAACAGCTAATTCCAAAGTTGCTGACCATGGATCCAAGTAAGATGAAATAATTGCTAATTTCAATCTTTTCTCCATCTATCATGATGTCACCTATTGACCCAGTAGTGAGTTTTCCTGATGTTGAGCTGTAATCTATCTTGAAGATTCTTTGATATTCTGCAGCAAGTGCTTCGAGTCCTCATTTTCAGCAAGATTGTGTCATCTGTATAACACAGGTTGTTAATGAGGTTTTTTCCAATCTTCATACCATATTCTTCATAAAGTCCATCCTCTAGAATGATTTGTTTAGCATACAGACTGAGAAGGTAATATAGAGAAAGGATATAGATAGCCCTAAAACATGTCTGTCTTGATTTTAAGCCATGCAGTGTTTACTGGCTCAGTTCAGACAAACAGCTTTTCGGTTTAAGTATAGGCTATGCAGAAGCACAATTAATTTGTCTGGTTAGTTTATCATCATTCCTTCAGTATTTTATCCTTCAGTGGAATACTTGTTCTCATCAATCACCTGGCTTAGAGTTTTTCCTGGAAACAGCTCAACTGTTTCCAATTACCAGTTTTTAGAATAATGGATGGCTTCCCTAGCATACACCAGAGGCGGCCTACGGGCTTTTTACATGAATACATGACTTTTAATAGCTCTGATGTGTGCTCATCAACAATATGAGCACTCTGGTGCTGTAGTCCATAGGGAGCTATGCTGCTCACCAGAGGTGGTTCCCCTCTGATGTGAATAGCTTCTCCTTGAGAGAAAAACTGCCATTCTCCCATACGATTTACAGCCTCAGAAACCCTGCTGAAAAGTGATCTATGAATTGGTTCCAACCCGACAGCAATGAGTTGAATCTACTGTATACTTTTTGATGTTGAACAATATACTTTTTATTTTCAGTACCAATAAGTCTTTATTTATTCATGGTTATTTTCCCAGGGAAAAAGAGAAGGGAAGGCAAAAGGATCAGCATGTGCTATAAAAGGACAACAGGGAAAGGAAGGACCCAGTACAATAAAATCAACCATCAAACAAATCAGCCAGTGATGGGGCTACCAAAGCCTAGTGGGGCTCAGTTTCCTGCAGTTCAGAAGTGAGGTGAAGGGATCAGGGAAAGAACAAACAGACAGATAAATCCCCTCCCTCCTTCCCTCCCCATAAATTCAAAATTTCACACAAAGCTTTGGTTTCTAGCAGTAAACATGGAGTTACATTCCTCTCCTATTAAAACAATCGTGTGGCTGCTTTGACATAAGTTTCTTACACTTGCATAAAAGTTCTGAGTAACTTGGAAATACATTCATCTTGCCTTTCTTGATCTTCCCACATTCTCCATGGAAGTCCCCATTGTTTCTCTGTACTCAATGACTGGAAGTAGCTTTGATACATTAAAATACTATTAAGTTTTAGCATAATTCATATCAATGTCTGGTTATGACTACAAAGTTTGGAAAAAGAGGAATGAGCTGTTCTTAGCATCTTCAGGTTTTAAAACATTTAAGAGTTTTGAAATACTCCTCAAAGTAAATGTATATATGTAGAGGTTTGGGGGTGAGCTGGGGAGAAAATAGGGAAAGGGGAATATAAAATAATGCTCAAGGTCCCACTTGAAGAAGGGTCCCCAAGCTTATGTTTCAGTTATTTTTGCCTGATGCAGAACCTTCTACAGAAGATGCTTTGGCTAATTTCTTTCAATACAAAAGAAGCTTGTAAATAAGAAAGAAAAGAAAAAATTATACAAATGAGGCCACCAAGCAATCACCAATCAGTGACTCATGAACTTCTACCCACACAAATACAAGAACTAGAGGGGGCAGCATTTGGGGGGAGACAAGAACTCAGGACCAGACACACATTACCCAATGGGTTCTACTGCATTTGCCCTGTTTCAACACAGTGAGGTAAGTTTGTAATGATCTCACAACATGTAAATGAAACTCCTTTTTCTCTGTTAGCTACTATGACACTTCAGCAGGAGGTCAGGACAATGGCTCTGGGCACCACAAAGAAGCCCTAGATTAAGGTCTCTCTGGAAACCAAGGAGAAAAAGCAGAATTTCTTACAACATGCTACCAACTCAGATTTCATCACACACACCCCTTCCCCCCACCCCAGTTGTGCATGGAAGGCCTAACCTAATCCAGTGAAGGATGGATCTGGTGTGTGGAGTGAATCTGGTATCTCAGGATTGAAGATTTGGAACAGGAATGAATCCTAACATTAATGATAGAAAGATTTTTCTGAACCTTGGCTTCCTCTCTGAGCCTTTGACCTGGCCTAGCTTCTCCTACCTTCTTCATACCACCTTCTTACTCGCACAGATTCCCATCCTTCCAGTAGGAGATCACTTCATGGGGCAGCCCAACCCAGTCACCCGTGGCACATTGTCAAGGTGGAGGGGTTTCAAGAGGACACGATGGCAGAAGAGCCAGCTCTCATTGGCAAAAATGAGGTAGTTAAATGGACAGTTGTTCTGAGGTGATAAACAACAACAAAAAAAGTATTCCTGCTGCCAAATTATCCCTGCAATTGCTCATGGACCTGAGAATACAGTACAGGAATGAAGGCCTTAGATTAAAATATATAAAAACACAAACCTAGAATATTTATATTAAGGGAAAAAAAGTTCAAAGGCACCAGATACGTCATTCATACACAGTGCAGTTGACACTGTGTTGGAGAAAGAGGGACCCAAGGTGCAGTTATGCAAGGGAGCAAATCAATTAAACCATATTGGCCTAGAATGGGGTGAGAGCAGGTCTGCAGCTGTTCCCCAATCACCCCTTTTGCCTCTCATCACGACCCATTGCCTTGGCATAGTTGCCAGCACCCTGTCCCACAAGTGGGGTTATGAGGAGACAGAATATGGAAAGCATCTGCCCTAACACTAATAGATTTCCCTCCCACAGAATGGAGGGGCTTTTGGGGTGGGACTATCAGGCTCCTCTCATGCTTAATGTTTTTCCACGGGAAATGATATATCCTTCATTAAAAGGCTATCTGGACCACTTTCAAAAGCCAAAGATTCTGGGGGTGGGTCCTCAGACAAAAGCTGGCACTCGAGGGGGATTTTACCTGATAGCCCTAACTTGCATTTGGGTAAAGCATGATCAGAGTTCCTGTGCCTCACTCCTTCCTCCCACTTAGAGGGGAAAGAGGGGCTGATGTTGTGGACCTCAGTCTGAGATATATTGGCAGTGCCACTGGCCCCTTCTCACCCTGTCCCACTTTCTCCACTCTGCCAGTTGATGCTTGCTCCTTAAACTTTCCTGATCATTCCCACCCACTGTGGCACAATCCTGAGCCTCCTGGAGAAAAGCAGGGCTGTCAATCTCTTCTTCTTCCTCTCCAAAGCAGGCTGGCTTTCCCTGAGAGCTGGGGGTCTGCTGGGCCTTCAGGGGACATGAAGCTACCATATAGCTGATGCTCTGGCAGAAGTGGCACTTCCTGGGCTGGGGTGGCAGCTTGCATTCCTTGGCATGACGATCTAGGCCTCCACAATTGTAGCACCGGTCTCCTTTTGACCTGTGCTTCTGCACGTTCTTTCCTTTTGGCCATCTCTCAAGTCTAATACTGAACATCCCACCAGGTCCTGTGACACAGATCGATTCCAGGCCCTTAGCAGACTTCTTAAAGGTGAACTCCACTGCTTGTCCCTCCTTCAGGCTCTGGAAGCCCTCTGTGCAGCTTACTCTGGTGCATAAAGATGTCTGGGGCGGGGGGGATATTGAGCACAACCCCAGTGTGGGCTGTCAAGGCAGGAAGCCGACCCCTATGAATACACTGAACCAATTACAGATTACAGATGCCAGCCCCAAACAGCAGCTGCAGTTCTACCACCACCAGAGCCGCGTCCTCCAGCGCCTCTTCTAACATCTTGGTTGACACAGAGCCCATGTTCATTGGCTCAGCCCCAGGGCTGGGCCCCAGAGAAGTCCGGAGGCAAAGGGGTGTCTCAGGGAAGAGGCAGCTACATATTCCCCGGCAAAAATCAAAACAATCTCATACTTTAAAGCTGACTTGTAAATCAATCTAATACAACTCTAGTAATGATTAATTGCTTCCTTATTTTCTGCTACAATAAGAAATCTAGGCTTATGCACATTTCCTACCTCACACTTGAAATCAGCCATTTCCTCACAAGTTCTGGTTCATTTTAGTGAAAATAGTTTAACTAAAGGACTTAATTCTTTGTACCTAATTCATGAGAATGTCAATAAAATCCTTTATGGCACAGAAAGAAAAACAGCCACAAAAGGCACATGCAGGTGTTAAGTTCAAGCAATCCACAAATACGTATCCTTTAAGCAGCTGGAACAAAATATTAGTACTTAAAGCAATAATAGATTTGAATGTACTTAGAGAAAAATGAAATGTATATAATGTCAAAAGACAAGATGTCCTTTCTCAAACAAGACAAGAGCCACAGGACAGAGACCAGACAAATGTTAATTTAACTCCTAGAACTAGCGGATATATACCAAAGTATGAAACATGATACTATATAAGCATACATGAAAGTTTAAGTTACCCAGGTATATTTTAAAATACACTTTGTCTTGAAACTAGTTCTTAGCCAGATTTAATTTTCTAATTATTGCTTTTCTTCCCTGAAAGGTTCTAGTTATAAAGTTATTACCTCCAATAAGTTCTGCAGTTCCTCTTGCCTTTTATTTAAGCAAGATACCCACTGCTCAGAAAAATACAGTGTGCTTGTTTTCAAGGCCTCACATTTTTGTTCAGTCTCAGAAGACATTATTTCAAAGTGGCTTTTGAGCTTATCACACTGTTTCACGGACTCTTCCATCAGTTCTGTACCTTCTTGGCTAAAATGTCTGAGTTCTTGTGACAAGTTATCAGAATCAGCACAAAATTTTGTGCTCTGAGAAGCTGTTTTGTTGATCAGATCCTTAGATTTCCTGTAAGAAAAAAATATATATTAATTGTTAAAAATGGAAGATTATTCAAAGAATACATGATTGGCTCAAGATGATAGAGTTCTTAAGTGAGAGATTTTAAAGGCAGGCAGTCTGGTTCTAAGGCCATATTGTCTTCTCCACTGACGAATGGACGCCTTTGCCAATGTTTGTTCACAGGAGGTTGACCGCATACCTGCCTTTTGGAAATGTTACCTTTTCCCCCTAAACTCTTTCCCAGCCTTCCTCCAGATGTGATCCTCTTCTTTACAACTCTCGTTGTATTTCATTCAGTAGTTGATAAAATGTAATTTATCAACTTGTTTTATTCTCCCTGGTAGAGTAAGCTGTTTAAGAACAAGGACTAGAGCTTATTCATTTCTACATCTCCTACAGTGCTCAATTCTTCCCTGGACTGTAGGTTGCATCAGAAGCATTTCCATTCACAAATCCCTTTTGGGTTCAAGCTATTCAGCATTTTCAATTCTGCTTTATATTCTCTTAGGAACCCTTGCTCTCCCTCTATTACCCATAGTCCCAATTCTTCTGGATTTATTGGAGAGTCATGTAGAATGCACAGATACCGTGACAGCACATAGTCAAGAGGTAAGTCTATCTGAAGAATCACTCTGGAATCCAGCAAGTGTGCATAGAAACATGCCATCTTACATAAGCATATCAGATGTTATTAGAATCATAGTAGTGAGCCTATTACCAAACTCTTTGGTAGTCACATCATAGTGTTTTCAGAGAGCCAATCCAAAGCAATCCATTAGCACAAAGCTTCCAACTTTATCAAGTTAAGAAAATAAAGGGATTTGGTCTCAAAATAAAAATGTAGACCTATGAAGTATAATACAAGCTACTTAACAGCTTTAATGTCTCAATAGTTAAAAAATATTAGTATTCTCCTATCATCTCTGCAAAAGAATATCCTAGTGCTCAACACAATGCAACTGGTATCTTTCTATTTCTCAGAACAAAACATTACCAGTCTCTCTAAAAAGAAACAGGGTTCTTAATGTTGTTGTTGATTGTGGTCAAGTCAATGACGACTCATAGTGATCCTATGAACAAAAGGCCTGAAATCTTTCTATAACTATTGTCTGTGCTTATAAATACTAGGAAATAATAAAAACAATTCCTCATTGTTAAACTGATGACTGTTTATAAAATAAAGCTAAGACTGAAGTCCTATTTTTCACTTTCTCTTAAAAAAAGATTACAAAATGTCTCTGATGGGGAATGGGATCCAAATTACGTCTCTTTACATACTGTAGGATGACTATTACACTCAAGCTTTTGAGCACTCCCTTCTGTCAGTCTTTTATACTTCTGCTTGATTCATAGGAAAATACTATTTTTAACATTGGCTTTAAAAAAAAAACAAAAACACTCACTGTTGTTGAGTCAAAACCAACTTATAGCGGACGTACCCACGGTGGGTTTTCTGTTGCTGTAAGCTACACAGGAGAATGGCCACCTTTCTCCTTTGCAACCATGGATGGATTCAAAGGTGCTGCCTTTGAGTTAGCAGCACTTATTAGCTAAAAGAAGTTCTAAAATTATTTTGAAGTGCTATTGATAATAAAAAAAAAATTAAAACGTTTTAAGAACCCACTAATTATTAGGGGCACTCAAGTATAGAATCTAATTCACTCAAATATTCTAATAGTCTCTGCATCAATGAATTTTTTTCAACCACAGATAATTTTTGCCTCCCCTGACACATCTGGAAAAGTTTGGAGATATTTTGAGCTGTCACAACTTGGGAGTTCTACTGACATCCAGCAGGTAGAACAGTCTTATAATTCATAGGATAGCCACCCTACAACAAAGAATTATCCAGACAAAATGACAAGAGGTTAAGAAATTCTTTTCTAGGGAGCTCTGGTGGCCTAGTGGCAAGAAGCTGCACTGCAATCCCAGAGGAACACGGTTCGAATCCACCAGATGCTCTGCCGGAGAAGGAGGCGCAATATCCTCCTGTACCAGTCAGATCTGATTTGACGGTACACGCACACAAAATAATAAAAAATAATA